CTAAAATTGACAAAGTAAGTGGGTAGGAATAATCGCTACAAAGACTGAAAAAAATAAACATCAAACCAGAAATTGCTCTCTTCAAATTGTAAATTATAAATGATCCTGAGAGAATATTCTGTGTGTTAAGGATTTCCCTGCTCTACTGTTAGCTCTATACAAGAGAGGAAGGAGCGATTCTTTTTTAATTTCGGTTTCGCTGACACAGCTTTCGCAGAAATCTCGCTGTAGTCGTTTTCGTCGACAAAAGGAATAGCAGAATCGCTCTCCGCGTCTTCCCCCATTTTGTTCTGCGTTATTTCGTGAAGGACGCGTGGCTCTCAGTGTGGGTCATCCACGCGGAGCACATTCGCGCTATGTGATTGGCTGTTGTCTAATCCCCCTTGAGATCTGTGGTGTTAAAAATAACTCGAGACGAATTACCTATGGAATAGGGTGTATATGGGGGATGCCCTCTCTGTCCCCTTTATAGTCTCTTGCACTGGCTGTTTACGCCGGTAGGAAAAAAATTTAACCCCGGAAAAATTACTGTCAATGTCCTTGAAGACAGATAATTCGGAAGGCTTCATCGGTACACTATAAATCGTTTTATTTTCTGAAAAGTAGACTTCCTAAGCTATAAAAAGAGACCAAAATTAATATAAATCTGTACGTTAAATATTTGCGAATTTATGATTTTTCGAGGATTCAAAGTTCGCTAAGTAAAACTAAATTTTGCGCAAAATGACCTGTGTACAACTTTAAATTGGACAAAAACACGAAATTCTATATCTCGAAAAATATGCCATGCAAGGTTGGAATTTCAAAGTCTTTATGCAGTAGAACAGTTTTTTCACTATTTTCAAGGTAATTTTCTCTTATGTAATCGAACTGAGTTCAAACTATTTTCGTAAATTACGGCAATTCGTGACCTTTCTAAAAAAATTGAACAGCGCGCGCGTATAGGTGAAATCTTTGCTCGTTGGCACTTAGCGATAGCTATAACTAGTTTATTAATATTTGTTGCATCGAGTAGTTAGCAAGTAAATTATATATGTTTTTTAAGGCCTCTTTACACCAGATTCGCTTGCTGATGAAACACATTTTTGCTTGGGAGAAGGGGATGAGAGCGGCCATAGGACCCCCTTGAGTTTTTGTAATGTCGTTGTATTCTGCAAAATTTTAAAGTTTATTGGACAAACGGTGACGATCTCTACAACTTGGCATAAGCATTTGACCCATTGATTCTGGGACATGCCACTGCTAAAACTTGCCGGCAAAGTCATTTCAAATGGTCGCCATTTTGACCAGTATTTGGATTTTGCTGAAAATTCATTTTTCGCAAATACCGTTGGAACATCCTCTTACTACTCATAGGGCCACAATACAAGGCTGCACGGGCCCGTCGAAGCTTGAAGAAAATATCCGCAATTAAGGTGACTCGACCCAGTTTTTTTGGGGGGGTACCATCCTACTTTGAAGCTCTCTGGTATCCCCACCTTTACTTTTATCGTAAGTATAACACATGGAATGGATAACATATAGATCAATCTACAATATAACATAAAATTTTTGGCGATCGGAGTAAATGTCACGTGGTTATAATGCCACGCCCCTTTGAGGTCTGAGTCGAAAATCTGCTGTTGCCAGCATTTTTTCGTGAAAATCTCTCGGCTACACATAGTGCGCATTAGTGCCTTGCGCTGAACAGAGTTTCACCAAAATCGCAAAGACCCAATTCGAGAAATTCAGCGGTTTCCAAATTTAGGTCATAATTTATGCGAAAATGATAAGCAAACTTTACACGGATTATATCTAATAAACTATGA